GCGGTTCCTTATTCTCCCAGTTTATTGTTCTGTGATTGAAGTCCTCCTTGATTAACAGATGGGATCTATTTCTACAGGCAGCAGAGGCTGCCCTCTCAACCATAGTGTTAACTTCAATGTTGTTGTTGTCATACTCTTGCCTGGGTCTTCTGTCATTTGGTGGAGGGTTATATACCACTGTTACTACTATTCTTGGTCCTCCTATTGTTATGTGAGTGTGTGTGTGTGTGTGTGTGTGTGTGTGTGTGTGTGTGTGTGTGTGTGTGTGTGTGTGTGTGTGTGTGTGTGTGTGTACTCACCTAGTTGTGCTTGCGGGGGTTGAGCTCAGGCTCTTTGGTCCCGCCTCTCAACCGTCAATCAACAGGTGTACAGGTTCCTGAGCCTATTGGGCTCTATCATATCTACACTTGAAACTGTGTATGGAGTCAGCCTCCACCACATTGCTTCCTAATGCATTCCATTTGTCAACCACTCTCACACTAAAAAAGTTCTTTCTAATATCTCTGTGGCTCATTTGGGCACTCAGTTTCCACCTGTGTCCCCTAGTGCGTGTGCCCCTTGTGTTAAATAGCCTATCTTTATCAACCCTGTCGATTCCCTTGAGAATCTTGAATGTGGTGATCATGTCCCCCCAACTCTTCTGTCTTCCAACGAAGTGAGGTTCAATTCCCGTAGTCTCTCCTCGTAGCTCATACCTCTCAGCTCGGGTACTAGTCTGGTGGCAAACCTTTGAACCTTTTCCAGTTTAGTCTTATGCTTGACTAGATATGGACTCCATGCTGGAGCCGCATACTCCAGGATTGGTCTGACATATGTGGTATATAATGTTCTGAAAGATTCCTTACACAAGTTTCTAAAGGCCGTTCTTATGTTAGCCAACCTGGCATATGCTGCTGATGTTATCCTCTTGATATGAGCTTCAGGGGACAGGTCTGGCGTTATATCAACCCCCAGGTCTTTCTCTCTCTCTGACTCTTGAAGTATTTCATCTCCCAAGTGATACCTTGTATCTGGTCTCCTACTTCCTACTCCTATCTTCATTACATTACATTTGCTTGGGTTAAACTCTAACATCCAATTGTTCGACCATTCCTGCAGCTTGTCCAGGTCTTCTTGAAGCCTCAAGCTGTCCTCCTCTGTCTTAATCCTTCTCATAATTTTGGCGTCGTCAGCAAACATTGAGAGGAATGAGTCTATACAATCTGGGAGATCATTTACGTATATCAGAAACATGATAGGTCTAAGCACAGAGCCCTGTGGGACTCCACTGGTGACTTCCCGCCATTCTGAGGTCTCACCCCTCACTATAACTCTCTGCTTTCTATTGCTTAGGTACTCCCTTATCCACTGGAGCGCCCTACCAGTTACTCCTGCCTGTTTCTCTAGCTTATGCATCAACCTTTTATGGGGTACTGTGTCAAAGGCTTTCCGACAGTCCAAAAAAATGCAGTCCGCCCATCCTTCTCTTTCTTGCTTAATCTTTGTCACCTGATCATAGAATTCTATCAAGCCTGTAAGGCATTGCAGGCATTGTGTGTGTGTGTGTGTGTGTTTATTCACCTAGTTGTATTCAACTAGTTGTGCTTGCGGGGGTTGAGCTCTGCTCTTTCGGCCCACCTCTCAACTGTCAATCTACTATCACTTGTTTTTTTGTGTGTATGTACTTACCGAGTTGCCGAGTTATACTTACCGAGTTGTGCTTGCGAGGGTTGAGCTCTGGCTCATTGGTCCCGCCTCTCAATGGTCAATCAACTAATGTACAGGTTCCTGAGCTTACTGGGCACTATCATATCTACACTTAAAGCTGTGTATGGAGTCAGCCTCCACCACATCACTTCCTAATGCATTCCATTTGTCTACTACTCTGACACTGAAAAAATTCTTTCTAACGTCTCAATAACTCATTTGGACACTCAATTTCCACCTGTGTCCCCTAGTGCGTGTGCCCCATTGAGTTAAATAGTCTGTCTTTATCTACCCTATCAGTTCCTCCAAGAATCTTGTATGTGGTGATCATGTTCCCTCTAACTCTTCTGCCTCCCAGTGACGTGAGGTTTAATTCCCGTAGTCTCTCCTCGTAGCTCATACCCCTTAGTTCGGGTACTAGTCTGGTGGCAAACATTTGAACCTTTTCCAGTTTAGTCTTATGCTTGACTAGATATGGGCTCCATGCTGGAACCGCATACTCCAGGATTGGTCTGACATATGTGGTATATAATGTTCTGAAAGATTCCATACACAAGTTTCTAAAGGCCGTTCTTATGTTAGCCAACCTGGCATATACCGCTGCTGTTATCCTCTTAATATGAGCTTCAGGGGACAGGTCTGGCGTGATCTCAACCCCCAGGTCTTTCTCTCTCTCTGACTCTTGAAGTATTTCATCTCCCAAATGATACCTTGTATCTGGTCTCCTGCTCCCTACACCTGTCTTCATTACATTACATTTGCTTGGGTTAAACTCTAACAACCATTTGTTCGACCATTCCTGCAGCTTGTCCAGGTCTTCTTGAAGCCTCAAGCTGTCCTACTCTGTCTTAATGCTTCTCATAATTTTGGCGTCTTCAGCAAACATTGAGAGGAATGAGTCTATAACCTCTGCTGTGTGTGTGTGTGTGTATTTAATATTTATATTTACTATTTGTGTTTGCAGATTCGAGCAATTAGCTCTTGGATCCCGCCTTTCTAAGCATTCTATTTTTCCTCTATGATGTCTACTACAAATGCTTCTCTCTACCACACACATACACACTATAGGACCCTGGTGGCTGAGTGGAAAGCACGCTGGATACGTAATCCTGTGTCCGGGGTTCGATCTCCGGCGCAGGCGGAAACAGATGGGAAGAGTTTCTTTCACCCTGATGCCCCTGTTACCTAGCAGTAAATAGGTACCTGGTTGATTGACACAGGTTCCGACGTGAGAACAGAAAGTGGTAGTGTTACGGGCTGCTTCATGGGTGTGTGTGTGTGTGTGTACTGGGGAACTGCTTTCAGGAACCTGTATAAGGAATCATTCAGAATCAAGTACACAACATATGTAAGACCAATCCTGGAGTATAAGAGAAGAAATAATTAACCAGGCGCCACTAGAGGAATTTGTGATTACCAGTGGAGATGTAAGGAAGCTTTTGTTAGAGTTGGATGTGACAAAGGCTATAGTCCAGGATTGATTATCACCATGGATACTAAAGGAAGGAGCAGAAGCACTATGCCTGCCACTCTCCATGGTGTATAATAAATCACTGGTAATAGGTGAACTGCCAAAATTTTGGAAAACGGCGAACGTTGTCCCGATATACGAGAAGGGGGATAGACAGGAAGCACTGAACTACAGGCCAGTGTCTCTAACCTGCATACAATGCAAGTAAATGGTGAAAATTGTGCGAAAAAAGCTAGTGGAACATCTGGAACGAACGAAGGAACTTTGTGACACAACACCAACATGGTTTCTGGGATGGCAAGTCATGCCTCACAGGATTAATTTAATTCTACGATCAGGCAAGAAGCATCAGACAAGAAAGAGAGGGGTGGGCAGACTGCATGTTTTTAGATTGCCAGAAAGCCTTTGACACAGTGCCTCACAAGAGATTAGTGCGAAAGCTGGAGATGCAGGCAGGAGTGAAAGGAAAGGTACTCCATTGAATAAGGGAGTACCTAAGTAACAGAAGACAGCGAGTCAGTGTGAGGGGTGAGGTCTCAGATTGGCGAGACGTCACCAGTGGAGTCCCGCAGGGTTCAGTCCTTGGACCCATACTGTTTCTTATATATGTAAATGATCTTCCAGATGGTATAGAATCATTCCTCTCATTGGTAGCTTATGATGCAAAAATTATGAGGAGGATTAAGACGGAGGAAGATAGTAGGAGACTACAGGATGACCTAGACAGATTGAATGAATGATCCAACAAATGGCTATTAAGGTTCAACCCGTGTAAATGTAAGGTAATGAAACTAGGCAGTGAAAACAGGAGGCCAGACACAGGATTCCGAATGGGGGAGGAAATCCTTCATGAAGCGGACAGAGAGAAAGATCTGGGCGTTGATATCACACCAAACCTGTCTCCTGAAGCCCACATCAAACGAATAACATCTGCGGCGTATGCGAGGCTGGCTAACATCAGAACTGCTTTCAGGAACCTGTGCAAGGTATCATTCAGAACCTTATATACCACATATGTAAGACCAATCCTGGAGTATGCGGCCCCAGCATGGAGCCCGCACGTTGTCAAGCACAAGGTGAAACTTGAAGAAGTTCAGAGGTATGCCACTGATTTACCCTCGTTAGGTTAGTTCTAGGTTAGACCCTGAACTAAGAGGCATAAGTTACGAGGAAAGGCTGTGGGAAATGCACCTCACGACACTGGAAGACAGAAGAGTAAGGGAAGACATGATCACTACCTACAAAATTCTCAGAGGAATTGACCGGGTAGATATAAAGATAAACTGCTTAACACGGGTGGTACGCGAACAAGGGGACACAGGTGGGAACTGAGTACCCAAATGAGTCACAGAGACGTTAAAAAGAACTTTTTCAGTGTCAGAGTAGTTAACAGGTGGAATGCAATAGGCAGTGATGTGGTGGAGGCTGACTCCATACACAGTTTCAAATGTAGATATGACAGAGCCCAGTAGGCTCAGGAATCTGTACATCAGTTGATTGACAGTTGAGAGGCGGGACCAAAGAGCCAAAGCTCAACCCCCGCAAGCACAAATAGGTGAGTACACACACACACACACACACACACACACACACACACACACACACACACACACACACACACACACACACACACACACACACACACACACACACACACACACACACACACACACACACACACACACACACACACACACACACACACACACACACACACACACACACACACACACACACACACACACACACACACACAATAATGCCAAACAATGTTGAGTAGAGTGGCCTCACAATGCAAATCAATAAGGCCAACCCTGCACTCTCCTTCACCTCCTCCTTCAAGTGTCTTCCAAGGACGCGACCTTCCTGCCCCTCCTCTTGGCCACCTCTCACTTCCTGCCCCTTCTCCTGGCCACCTCTCACTTCCTGCCCCTCCTCCTGGCCACCTCTCACTTCCTGCCCCTCCTCCTGGCCACCTCTCACTTCCTGCCCCTTCTCCTGGCCACCTCTCACTTCCTGCCCCTCCTCCTGGCCACCTCTCACTTCCTGCCCCTCCTCCTGGCCACCTCTCACTTCCTGCCCCTCCTCCTGGCCACCTCTCACTTCCTGCCCCTTCTCCTGGCCACCTCTCACTTCCTGCCCCTCCTCCTGGCCACCTCTCACTTCCTGCCTCTCCTCCTGGCCACCTCTCACTTCCTGCCCCTCCTCCTGGCCACCTCTCACTTCCTGCCCCTCCTCCTGGCCACCTCTCACTTCCTGCCCCCCCTCCTGGCCACCTCTCACTTCCTGCCCCTCCTCCTGGCCACCTCTCACTTCCTGCCCCCCCTCCTGGCCACCTCTCACTTCCTGCCCCTCCTCCTGGCCACCTCTCACTTCCTGCTCCTCCTGGCCACCTCTCACTTCCTGCCTCTCCTCCTGGCCACCTCTCACTTCCTGCCCCTCCTCCTGGCCACCTCTCACTTCCTGCCCCTCCTCCTGGCCACCTCTCACTTCCTGCCTCTCCTCCTGGCCACCTCTCACTTCCTGCCTCTCCTCCTGGCCACCTCTCACTTCCTGCCTCTCCTCCTGGCCACCTCTCACTTCCTGCCCCTCCTCCTGGCCACAGTTGATTGACAGTTGAGAGGCGGGACCAAAGAGCCAAAGCTCAACCCCCGCAAGCCCAAATAGGTGAGTACACACACACACACACACACACACACACACACACACACACACACACACACACACACACACACACACACACACACACACACACACACACACACACACACACACACACACACACACACACACACACACACACACACACACACACACACACACACACACACAATAATGCCAAACAATGTTGAGTAGAGTGGCCTCACAATGCAAATCAATAAGGCCAACCCTGCACTCTCCTTCACCTCCTCCTTCAAGTGCCTTCCAAGGACGCGACCTTCCTGCCCCTCCTCTTGGCCACCTCTCACTTCCTGCCCCTTCTCCTGGCCACCTCTCACTTCCTGCCCCTCCTCCTGGCCACCTCTCACTTCCTGCTCCTCCTGGCCACCTCTCACTTCCTGCCTCTCCTCCTGGCCACCTCTCACTTCCTGCCCCTCCTCCTGGCCACCTCTCACTTCCTGCCCCTCCTCCTGGCCACCTCTCACTTCCTGCCCCTCCTCCTGGCCACCTCTCACTTCCTGCCCCTCCTCCTGGCCACCTCTCACTTCCTGCCCCTCCCGGCCACCTCTCACTTCCTGCTCCTCCTTCTGGCCACCTCTCACTTCCTGCCTCTCCTCCTGGCCACCTCTCACTTCCTGCCCCTCCTCCTGGCCACCTCTCACTTCCTGCCCCTCCCGGCCACCTCTCACTTCCTGCTCCTCCTTCTGGCCACCTCTCACTTCCTGCCTCTCCTTCTGGCCACCTCTCACTTCCTGCCTCTCCTCCCGGCCACCTCTCACTTCCTGCTCCTCCTTCTGGCCACCTCTCACTTCCTGCCTCTCCTCCTGGCCACCTCTCACTTCCTGCCCCTCCTGGCCACCTAGAGTGCTAGTGTCAGGGAGGTACACTGTGGTAGTGTCAGGTTCTTGTTGTTTACATTCAGCTACTGGGAACAAAAAGTTACATGCTGGACGGGCTATGGTGAACCCGTCGTATACACCTGGCACAGGAGATGTGTGGTGAAAGGGATGTATACTGTTACTGAAGTACACCTGGAGCACACCTGCTTGATGGGGTTTTGAGTGTTCTTCTACTCCCCAAGCCCGGTCTGAGGCCAGGCTTGACTTGTAAGAACTTAATCCACCGGCTGTTGCTTGGAGCAGCCCGCAGGCCCACATATCAATCACAGCCCGGTTGGTCCGGCATTTCTTGAAGAAAACTGTCTTGTATACTCGCTGGGAGGACGTTGAACAACCATGGACCTCTGATGTTTATACAGTGTTCTCTGATTGTGCCTATGGCACCTTTGCTCTTCACTGGTTATATTCTGCATTTTCTTCCATATCGTTCACTCCAGTACGTTGTTATTTTACTGTGCAGATTTAGGACCTGGCCCTCCAGCATCTTCCACGTTTAGTTTAGTTCATTTATTATGCACCCCATACCCATCTTGTGGGCGGTATTGGAAAGGGTTACAGAGGCACATAATAGGCTCAGGGACTGAACCCCACAGTTCAGTCCCTGGTTAGCTAAGCAAGTTACAATCTTGATGAGCTAGTTGCAAAATTCAGTATAAGTCGTCACATCATCAATGGGTTCAAGATCGACCACACGTACAGTTTCTAAATTAAGCAACTGACATATGTGGAGAGCTAGTGTCACAATTGATATGTTTGTCCTGCACACCGCCCCCCATCCAGTGGGCAGCGGTGAACAGGTTACAATCACTTAGTTACTACCTACAGTTAGCAAACTGGGGATATTTGGCTAAAATTTCTGGTGGCAGATGATTTTGAATGAAATATTTACACATCGTTGGAACATTAGTTATAGAATTGTCTCTGAATTCACGTATCTTTCCGCACTCCATCACATAGTGACGGAGGGTGTGCGAATAATTTTGTTGACACAGCTTACATTTGGTCAGGTCTACATCGGCAGATAATGAGAATTCCAAGAGATACTTGTAACCGAGTCTTCTTCTAAATCTTCCATGTGTATATTATTTGATATCTGTCCCGTTTCCTTTCTAGTGAGTACATTTGGAGAGCTTTAAGACGATCCCAATAATTTAGGTGCTTTATTACGTTTATGTATGCCGTATATGTTCTCGGGATTCTCTCTGTGTCAGCCATCTCTCCTGCTCTGAAGTGGGAAGATTATACTGAGCAGTACTCAAGACGGGACAGTACTAGTGATTGTTACAGTACAACCATTGTGATGGGATCCCTCGATTTGAAAGTTCTCGTAATCCAACCGATCATTTTTCTTGCTGACAAAATATTTGCTTGGTTATGCTCCTTAAACGTTAGGTCGTCAGACATCATTATTCCCAAATCCTTTACATGCTGCTTTCCTACTATGGGCACATTTGATTGTGTTTTGTACCCTGTATTATGTTTAAGGTCCTCATTTTTACCCTACCTGAGTACCTGGAATTTATGACTGTTAAACATCATGTTATTTTCTGTTGCCCAGTCGAAAACTTTAATAATATCAGCTTGAAGTTTTTCAATGTCTTCAGCAGAGGTAATTTCATGCTGATTATTGTGTCATCTGCAAAGAATGATACGAAGTTGTGACTTGTATTTTTCTCTATATCTGATATGAGAATAAGGAAAAGCATTGGTGCATGGACTGTACCCTGAGGTACAAAGCTTTTAACTGTGCTTGGACTTGATTTTACATGGTTGACTGTTACTCTTTGTGTTCTGTTCGATTGAAAATTGAGTATCTACTTTACCAGTTATTCCCATTGGCCTCATTTTGTGTGCTTCATGGGCACTCCCAGGGGATCATGGCCTCCAGTTTGGGAACTAGTGCTCTGGAGGCTCTAGCAATAAAATAATACTTACTGACCAGGATGTTATTTGTAAAGAAATTCATCTTCTCGCGCAATCAGCAGCAGGTTTAGTGGTGCAGAAAACATAGTTGTTAAATCTGTGATTCATTTTTACCATTAATTTGAAATAGTCGAATTACAGCTAAGGTATACCTCGCTGACATTAGTCACGATATATCTCAGTGACACTGTTCACAGTATACTTCCCTGACACTAGTCACAGTATACTTCCCTGGTACTAGTCACAGTATACCTCCCTAACAAGCCACAGTATACCTCCCTGACAACTCACAGTATACTTCCCTGACACTAGTCACAGTATACTTCCCTGACACTAGTCACAATATACTTCCCCTGACAAGTCACAATATACTTCCCTGACACTAGTCACAGTATACTTCCCTGACAAGTCACAGTATATTTCCCTGACACGATTTAAAAAAAAATAGCATGATTTTAACAGTGATAAATTCTTGATACATAGGCTTGGAAAACAAGAAGACTTCAAAGAAACACGGGACGCAAGATACAACCAGATCTATGACCAGAAGGAAAACAACATGTAAAGGATCTGGGCATAATGATGTCAGACGACATCATTACCTCTGGTCGTACCTCTGAACATCAGAGGTACGACCATAGAACACTGAACATCAGAGGTACGACCATAGAACACTGAACATCAGAGGTATGCCCAAAGAAACCTCTTTAACGATTGCTTTGAAATTTTGACACAACGTTGCATTCGAATAGGAGCGTGTTTGAAGTATAAGTATAGATGCCACACCTGTGACAGGTAAAAACATTCTTCTTTTAAGAAACAGCGCCATCTGTTGCACATAAGAGCAACACATGCAGTACTAAATATGTTACGTTTCCACTTCAATGTTTCCGATTGCATTGACAAATTGAATTTTCATAGATTTCTATTTTTTTTTAATTTTGAATTAATTATTTTGTCTGACTCTGCGTTGGAATTGAGCTGTGTTGTTTACCAAACCGTTCATTTCGTGAGAACAGTTTATTTTTTTTATTTTTCATTTTTTTTTCATTTCGTTTTTTAACTGTTTTTCTTATATTTCAGTGATGGGAACATCAAATCACTTGATGTTCCCAATTTTCTGATGGGAACATCAGGGGTGATGGTGGGGAGGACGAGGGGATGGGGGGAGTTGGGGATGGTATGGACGAGGGAACAGGGGTATAGACAATGGTGGGGAGGAGAAGGGGACAGGGGAGTGGGGTTGGTGGGGAGTACGAGGGGATGGGGGGGAGAAAGGTAGGGAGGACGAGGGGACGGGGGAGTAAGGAATGGTGGGGAGGACTGGGAGACAGGGAAAGGTTGCTGTGGTGCAGCAAAACACATGCGCTGCTGAGCCACAGCATCGCGTAGCTGGGTACAGTTAGTATATATATGTATATGTATATATATATATGTCGTACCTAGTAACCAGAACGCACTTCTCAGCCTACAATGCAAGGCCCGATTTGCCTAATAAGCCAAGTTTTCTTGAATTAATATATTTTCTCTAATTTTTTTCTTATGAAATGATAAAGCTACCCATTTCATTATGTATGAGGTCAATTTGTTTTTAATGGAGTTAAAATTAACGTAGATATATGACCGAACCTAACCAACCCTACCTAACCTAACCTAACCGATCTTTATAGGTTAGGTTAGGTTAGGTAGCCGAAAACGTCAGGTTAGGTTAGGTTAGGTAGGTTAGGTAGTCGAAAAACAATTAATTCATGAAAACTTGGCTTATTAGGCAAATCGGGTCATGTATAGTAGGCTGAGAAGTGCGTTCTGGCTACTAGGTACGACATATATATATATATATATATATATATATATATATATATATATATATATATATATATATATATATATATATATATATATATATAAATATGTTGTACCTAGTAGCCAGAACGTCGTACTTGGCCTACTAGGCAAAGCCCGATTTGCCTAATAGGCCAAGTTTTCATGAATTTATATATTTTTTCCACATTTTTTCTTATGTAATGATAAATCTGTCCATTTCATTATGTATAAGTTAATTTGTTTAAATTTGAGTTAAAACTAATGTAGATATATGATCGAACCTAACCAACCCTACCTAACCTAGCCTAACCTATCTTAACCTATGCTAAACTAACCTAACCTAACCTAACCTATCTTAACCTATGCTAAACTAACACAACTAAGTCAATAAGTTATGGACTTAATATAAAATAATAATAATAATTCAAATATACTATTTGGAGAAAAATTATTGAAAATAAAGAAAATCATTCGGCCTATTAGGCAAATCGGGCCTTGCATAGTAGGCTGGGAAGTGCGTTCTGGCGACTAGGTACGACATATGTTTATATATATATATATATATATATATATATATATATATATATATATATATATATATATCATACAAAAAATAATAGGGGTGGTAGCAGAAGAAAAGAATAAAGTATTCAGTGAAAATCCACAAGATCTTCTCTGAATGCTCTTTGTTTTCTTGGGTGAGGATGTGGGTCCCTGCAATTGCACTAGAGGTGGTACCCTAATATATATATATATATATTGTGACGGTAACGCGTTGGTGTTCGGCTGTTCAAGGCTAGGGGTATGGCCTCGTCACATAGTTATAAAAAAAAATAGAAAAACTGGAACTTCGTCTGTGGTAAGGTAAGGAGAAGACACACAAAACACAAGTAAAACTTTAACAATGAAATTTTAATTACGTTAAATAAATCAAAACATGAAAATATGGACAAACAAATATGTATAATAAAATCAATGAATCAAAATAATAAGAATACTTAAATGACACAATGAAAGTTACGTTAAGGCAAAATAATAAGAAGTGCAATACAAAAGTTAAGTGGGAGGTGCTGGAATATTGGCTTAAAGCCACCACCTCTCTCAGTACACGCTAACGTCTAGCTGGGAGGAGTGCTGGCTACGAAAGCACTGAACATTCTGAGGACTGATGTTGGGGCGACCCCAGACATCAGGTAGTATTGGGGGCGAGTGCAGGT